GGACCTAGCCGGGCCAGGCAGTGTTTGAAAGAATACAGTTTCCGTGTAATTATTTCTGGGTATAAGCTAGCCATGTGGGCGGCCGGGTGCCGGGGACACAGCCCCGCCGCTCTTATTTCAACAACCTGGGTTAAAAATAACATGTTCTGTGTGTAGGGCTAACCATGACTCAAATATTAGTCTCCATCTTAACTTAGGTTGCTACATAAGCACACAGATCATGATGAACTTAATGTATAATATATCTTTTAAACGATCCTCTTTCCTGAGGATAAAGAAAATTGAGGATTCCTGAGCTCTGTTCCATCCTCAATAGAATGTATATTATATATGACATTATATTGACTGAACAGCATATTATATGTGTGTGTGTGTGTGTGTGTTTTCTATGGCATTTAATGACAATAGGCATTTCCATACAGCTAGAATGATTATATAGGTGTAGTGGGAGGGAGGTAAGGAAAGAAGGAAATGCTATAGTTTCATTAAAATTTCAACAAATTGAAAATCCTACTTTAATTATACTGAATAATAACCACAACATATTCTTTTCCATTTATTTAAAGTCTTAAAATTATCAAAACTTCAATACCTAAGAATTGCACGATAATACTTCCTAGATTCTGCTGACCTGTCTCCTTTCTCTTTGTGTTGGTCATCTACTGCTGTACATCAACTTCTTGAAGGATATGAAATTTGAAAATAATAGTATTATGGGATATATACTAAGTATGATTAAATGCATAAGCACTGACGAATGTAACAAATCAGTACTCATAAATACTTAATTTTTCTTATTTGTATAAACTTGTAAAAGTAGTCCTTTACAGTATCTGAAAATGCTGGTAGAGAAGAAAAAGCAATCACTCTGAGTGATTACCTTAGTAAATGCTAACTAATGGAGACATTTTTGCTCAAACAAACACTGTTTTCTAAGCTTATGTAAACTTGTATAAGTGACAGTTTAATGATTCAAGGCTCCTTCTGTGACTAGGAATCTTTGTTAATTTGCTTCTTCAAATGGCCTCATTTGTCACATATCTGTCTATTCTATGAATATCTAAATTTGCCCATTGATCATAGGCAATATAGTTGTTCTTATTCTTTTGATAAATATATCTTGATTCCAAAATGATTAAAATAATTTACAATACGAAATTTCTTAATACATACATATATATACACACATATATCCAGTGATGCTGTTGTGTTTAGGGGATATATTTAAAACTATATATTATTCAATTTGTACTTCCAAATAAACATGTGATTATAAAATGGCTCTACTTTTTGAGCTATTGTGGATTTCAAGAGATAAATACATCTCTTAAATCATTTCTTCATTTTAGCTGTGAAGGTCTTATGTCTGATAATGTACCTCTATTCATAGTCAAACATGACTTTCCTCAGGAGACCCAAGTATCAGTGTGATATCCTGAATGGAGAAATCAAGGAGGACAAGGGAAATAATTTTAGTTGATTTAGTATGAGAGGTAAACTTGTTTTTGTGTTGTAGATTTCTGAGGTATGTGTGTGTGCGTGGAATTATGTGTGTGTTACAGGTAGAATAATTTTGTTGCCATGACATCATCGAACCTAATCCATTTGTTAAAAGGTTTTCTTTGTCTGAGTAAATATATTGAATACCCTAAGGTAATTTCAAATTTGAAATAGTTACCCAATATATTAAATTAGTACACAATAACAGCTTAAGTTCTTTAAAAAATAGTTTATGTTAATTGTATTGCTATATTGATGCTTATTGCATAGCTAATAAAATATACATGGGTTATAATAGTATGATAACCTGTATTGTACTTGAATTTTCAGTTCAATGTATAGAAACAGAAAACCAGAACTTATTAATTAACAAACTATATATAATACATATATCTATTTTATTATATATTTACTATATAAAATATGTAGATTATATAACATATATACATATATATAGATAGTGTGTGTGTGTGGTGTGTACATGATGAGTTTCTAGGGGAAAGAATTACACAGATGTGTATTTGAATTGCACATCTATCTTATTGTTGGAGCTGAACTAATTGACTGGCATATATTAGAAAACTAAACTTGAACTGACTTTGAACCTCAATAATACTGGGAGAAGCATAACTTGGTAAGCAAATGGTGAAATTAAGACAATGATAGAGCTGTTTTACAATGACATTAAAAAGAAACAAAAGAACCAAGAAAATTGTCTATAAAAGAAAAAGCAATCTTTTCTTTGTATTCCTGTCAGTTTATATTACATCATAAGGAAACAAATATTACAGTAACAATTCTATATGATTTTTGTGTTATTGACATAAAATTATATTCATACCAATTTTATAATATTAACTGACTGATTTATGTGTACTAGATAAATTCAAAACTATTTCCGGAATGAGTTTTTTCTCATATGCTTAATAAAAGAAAAGCGATTTTGATTGACCATCCCATTAAGATTTAAAATATACATTTGAGTAACATTATACAAAATGGGCTGGTTTGTATACATTTGTGTGTGTATGTGTGTGTATATATTCAAGCAGGAAGTATTAATGATAAAAGAGAGACATGAATTTGAAAGAAAGCAAGTTTAGTTATGAGGGAGTGTATGGATATAGGAATGGAAAGCGAAAATTATGTAATTATACTAAATCTCAAAAATAAAAGAAATATTTCAATTAAAAATTTAACCAGCACAGCCATATTCCACTTTCTTTAATTTTGATATTATTTAATTGTTTAATATTTCTTAGGAGATAACAGCAAATTAGTGAAGCTAAAAATCCTCTCATCATCCTTGAGTTAGTACTAAAAACTGGTAGCATTTTGCTTATTAATAACATATCTTATTTACTTACTTTAGAATACATATATGTGCCCATGTGTCTGCATCATGGAAACGGGTGCCTGCAAAGGTCTAAACAGGAATTGAAATTACATGCAGTTATGAACCACTCACTGTGGGCATTGAGAACCAAACTTGGGTCTTCTGCAAGACAACAAACCTATTAGATACAGAACTATCTCTCCAGCCCTCATAACACTGTTAAAGAAAATTTATGATTATTAGAAAGAGTAACACATTTACATAAATTATTATTATGATTTTCATTCAAATTCACAGCTTCATGAAGAAATTTAACATAAAATTAATAGTTAATATGTCATTAAAATTAATAATACTGATATTCTTCATGTCTTTGTTTTTTTGTGTTTTCTTTTTATAGAATTAATATGAGAATAAAATTACAGAATAAGAGGAGAGAAACATACAAACTGACACAAGGCTAGAGATATGGTTCAATGAGTAAGGGTGATTGTGGCCAAATATAAGGTTACCTGTGCTTAAGTCTCAAGACTCAAAAGGCATAAGCAGAGTGCAGAATTGTTCAAGCCCTCTCTTCTTCATAGGTACAGCACACACGTATGACCTCACATACCTACAAATACCCACTCTCACACACTGACGAATATCTTTCATATCACCATAGAACCTTCATCTGGTGATGGATGGAGATAGAGACAGAGACCCACACTGGAGCACTGGACTGAGCTCCCAAGGTCCCAATGAGAAGCAGATGGAGGGAGAACACGAGCAAGGATGTCAGGACCACGGGGGGTGCACCCACCCACTGAGACAGTGGGGCTGATCTATTGGGAGCTCACCAAAGCCAGCTGGACTGTGACTGAAACAGCATGGGATAAAACCGGACTCTCTGATCATGGCGAACAATGAGGACTGATGAGAAGCCAAGGTCAATGGCAAGGGGTTTTGATCCTACTTCATGTTCTGGCTTGATGGGAGCCTAGCCAGTTTGGATGTTCACCTTCCTAGACATGGACGGAGGGGGGAGGACCTTGGACTTTCCACAAGGCAGGGAACCCTGACTGCCCTTCAGACTGGAGAGGGAGGGGGAGAGGAGTGGGGGGAGGGGGAGAAGAGAGGGGGGAGGGGGAGAAGAGTGGGGGAAGGGGGAGGGAAATGGGAGACTGGGAGGAGGCGGAAACTTTTTTTTTTCTTATTCTCAATAAAAAAATTTAAAAAAGAATAAAATAAATAAATATAACAAAAACTTCAAAAAATAAATCTGGCATGCCTTGACACTCTAAACTGAAAGAAAGGTACTTCTAAAATCAAAACACCAAGGAGTCAGTGTCTCTTGAGGCTGTTATGGTCACATAGGACGTGCTGCTGTCTCTTCTCTTGCATGCTTCTCTCTTGGTCTAGTTGCCATGTTAAAATGCAGATCAATACATGTGATTAATGCGCTCCAAGTTTATTCCAAAAAAGTAAATTTTCACATTTTGTTTAAATTATATAAGGGAAATTTTGTGTTCTCAGATTAATCTTAAATGTTTTGCTTGTTAGTTTTGTAGTTTTTTTTAATAAATCATAGCAATTGTTTACAGCTTTAAAATAAGAGTGTTTTCTGATGAAGTGATTCAATAGTGTTCTCATGAAAACAACTGTTCTTTGTCTGCAAAGTGGGGACATAAGCTTTAGTGAATGTTTCCACAACCCTGGCAAGAAGTCATATGCAGCATGATTAATTATATGCAGAAAGGTAATTTTATACTCAATAGAAACAGAAAAAAAATGAGTAATTGGTCCACAGATACTGACTAGAGATTCCATTGTTGTGGATAAAAAAAATGTCCTTAGATACAACATAAAACAGGTAGACCATTCTGGAAAAACAAACTACATGAACAAAATACAGCATATGAAAGAACTTGGTACAACCAAGAAACATTAATGATTCATTGTTGCTGTAACATGCAAAGGTCCTTGATCATAATGTGTTTTTCCATTTAAATAAATAATGATCTTTTCTTTGCTAACGAGAGAAATAGATCAGAAAGGATACATTGCTATGGGGCCAATTAAAGGAATCTGCATTATTTTTTGGCATCAAAAATGTTTTGGATTTCTCTTAATAAATGTAAGCTTTTTTGATATTATGACTCTGGGGGTAACTCACATCAGTAATCATCATTAAAAAAAATTCAAGTAATATTATATTGTTGCTTTCCTATTGCTGTGATGAAATACCATAACCTAGGCATCTTGAGGTTCCAGAGGAATAGAAGGCAGATCATGGTGAAGCATAGCAACAAGTGGCAGACCTGCTGACAGGAACATGAAACTGAACACTCTCCCCTTCAACTAGGAGCATGAAGGCGAAAGAGGAAACTTGAGGTAAGGGGAGATTCTATACTTCCAGTGCTGCTTCTTATGGCCTACTCTCTCCATCAAGGCCATCTCCACCAACTGGGTAAAAGTATTCAATTATCTTAATTTATGGAAGATATTTTCATTCAAGCTACTGCATACATTCAGACTATCACTCAAAAAGTTACTTTCAAGGAAAATCAATTTAATAAATTACTTTAAAGCAAAGCATTATCTCATTTGTTTTTTTTTGTTTTGTTTTGTTTTTTAATTGGACTCCTGAGAATTAAGTGATAATTATGTATAAAAATTAAAAAGTATTGCATAGAAGAGCATGAAAGGAAGCATTCATCAAAAGAAAAGCTGTTAAAGGCACAGCAGAGGCATCATTAAAATTCAACAAAAAAGGTATTTGTTAGAAATTATAGGACAAAAGTAATGTAAATTGGAATAATTTAATAAACATTTAATAACCTTATACTTAAAATACTAGAAGAGAGAGTGTATAGATGGTAAATATGAAAGCCATAACGGTAGTAGAGAGATTTCCCTCACCTGGAGACCACTTTTATTTTGAATATTGAGTCCCCATTGCACTGGAAATGTAACTTTTGTGACAGAGTTGGTGGATAGGTATGGGCATATATTTTCTTTCTTTTTTTGAGACAGGGTTTCTACGTAGCTTTGGAGCCTGTCCTGGAACTAGCTCTTGTAGACCAGGCTTGCCTTGAACTCACAGATAGCTGCCTGCCTCGGCCTCCCGAGTGCTGGGATTAAAGGCGTACGCCACCACTGCCTGGCCATATATGGAAATATATTTTCATAAAATTCAATATTCTTTATTTAGTGTGCATGTGTGAGAGGCAGAGACAGAAAGACAGACACACAGAGAGAGAGAAACAGTGAGAGAGAGAGAGCATATTTGTAAATACCTCAGAGAATAGGAGCCCTACTGACTGAACCAAGGTCATCAGCATGAGCATCAATTGCGTTAAATATCTTTAGCCATGTTATCCTACATTACTTTTTAAAAAATTGTTTTCATTTTATTTTTGCTCTTTTAGTCACTGAATCCAGAGCCATGTTTATGCTATTAATGTTTTTTTTTTTCTTTCTTGTACAACCATAAGTTAGCATCAACTGTAAATTTGATACAACCTCAAAGTCACATGTGAAGAGAGAATTGTAGACATTAGCATCAGTAGGTAGTATAGAAGCTTTGAATAAGAAAGACAGATGACTGAAGCAGGAAATATGGAAAGCAAGCATTGGATGGCTAGGTGAGGGAAGATGGGGTTGAGCAAGGAAGGGATACTGGGAGATAGTTAAAATTGAGAGGCATTTGAGAGGTTGTATAGAAACCTGGTGTAGTGGAAATGTACTAAAATATATGAAGGTGATCCTAATTAAGCCTCTAAGTAATGAGGGAGACAGAGTTATAACTTATCTCCAAATGAGGCTTCCAGTACTGGGACTGGGTTACATCCAATTGATTCATTGACCACAGGTGTACAATGGAAATGCCCAATCAATCCAAGCTGTTGTTAATGGGATAGTTTGTTCTCAAAAAACTGACAGCAAGGTCCCAATGCTGAAGAAAACACCCATACAACTCATTGGATATGGAGAGGTATAACTATTGCCTACCTAGAACCATTATCTCTTTAATCTAGTGTTTTGAAAGGTACTTTGAAGGCTATCCAAAGAGAAACACAAATGACAATTCAGCCACAAAACCTTTGATCTACAATGGTATCCTCCATGCACAAAATGCTAGGGAAATAGGGCAATGGTGGCACAAAGCTTGTTGTAATATCCAACCAATGCATGAATTGATTTAAGGCCTACATGAGATAGAACTCATATCCAGCATTGTTAGGGGGACCAAGAATAAGAGATTATATAACCCAGAGACATAAGGTAAAATCAGATACTATTGGTTTAAAAGAAAAGAAAAAAAGCAGTGGCAATAAAAATGACTGCTAATTGTATATCAACATGTAGAAGAATGAGAATAGATCCATATCTATTCTATCCCCATGTGCAAAACTCAAGTCCAAATGAATTGAAGACCTTAACATAAAGCCAACCCACACTGAACCTCATAGAAGAGAAAGTAGGATGTACACTTGAATGCATTAGCATAGGAGACCACTTCCTAAATATAACCCCAGTAGCACAGACACTTAGAAAAACAATTAACAAAAGGGGAGTTTCTGTAAGCAAAGGACATAGTCAGCAAGACAAAATGACAGCCTAGAGAATGGGAAACATCTTCACCAACCCCACATAGGCCAGAGGGCTGATCTTCAAAGTATACCAAGAACTCAGGAAATTAGTAATCAAAAGAACAAATAATCCAATTGAAATAAGGAAGTTCTGACCTAAACAGAAAACTGTCAACAGAGGAATCTAAAATGGCTAAAAGACACTTAAGGAAATGCTCAACTTCTTTAGTCATCAGAGAAATGCAAATTAAAACAACTCTGAGTTTCCATCTTATATCTGTAAGAAAGACGCAGAGCAAAAACACTGAGGAAAAAAATAAGTTTTGCTCGTGGGGATGTGGTGCAAAGAACCTTAAAACAATCTAAATGCCCATCGACTGAATAATGGATAAGGAAAAATGTAATGCATTTACACAATGGAGTACTACACAGAAGAAAAAAATGACATCTTAAAATTTGCAGGCAAATAGATAGACCTAGAAAATTTCATATTGAGTGAGGTAACCCAGACCCAGAAAGACAAATATCATATGTACTCACTCATAGGTGGCTTTTACACATATAGTTTTAAAAAATTCTAAAATTCACAATCCCAGAGAACCTAGATAACAAAGGGACCCCTGAATGTGTGAATAGATGGGGCTCTTATTCTTGTGCCTTCTCTTGGGTTTTTTTTTATCTTCTGTTTGTTTGTGTTGTCCAACTTCAATGTGAAGGTTAATACTTTATCTTATTTGTAAAATTTTATGTTTTGTTTTTATCTCTTACTAGCCTGTTCCTTTTCTAAAACAGACAAAAAGAGAGTAAATCTCCATGGAAGGGTGCAAGGAGGCCTGTGACTTCTTCAGGGGACAAGGCCTGAGAATATCATGAACAAGTTATTTTTGAGGCAATGCCCTGGAGAATCTGAACCAGTTTTGGCAAGGCTGATGGAGATAGTCCGCTGCTCATTTCTGGGCATGACCCCAGGAACTTATGTGCTACCTGCTTTCCTTGCTTTTTATTTTTATTTATTTATTAATTTATTTTTGGAATTGTATTGCTGGCTGCCTCTGGTTTCACTTTCTTACAGATATGGATAAAATGACTATTATGTAAAAAAAGAAAAATAAACTTCCTTTGATGACTCTGCTCTTGGTGAACCAGAGAGGACGTTGTTAAAAAATATATAGTGGACCCAATTTGGCCCCAAAGCCTTTCTAACACACCTGGTAACTAGCCTGAAATAGTCACAATAGTTTATGACATTATTACAAATTACTATCCTGGAGAGAATGATTTTAACCGTAAGTGTCTAGAAGAAATGCCAATAAAAAAATGATATTAGGAGTTAATGGAAACGGTTTAGGAACATTTAATAAAGCAGAATCATAGAAACCCACAATGCCCTCATTTTTAATAGTTGTGACAGTACTGTAGGACTCTGAGAGTAAGGAGACATGAGAACAAGAGACAAGCAGGGCC